ATACAATTATCTAACGAAATTAATATTAAATAAATCTATATCAATATTGTAAGGAGGAAAGATTTGTATTTTTGGAATTTTGTATGTAGTGAAATAACTCAAAAACTACTAGGCCGATTTCAAAAATTATTTCTCTACTAGAAAGCCACCTTAACAGTGAGAAACGTAGGCTGTTTAACTTTTTTATTTCACGCGGGTGAAATCGCAAGCAACAGCTACTAATGTATAAAGAAACTATCGTCAATATGCAATATTAGGAAATTGCCTAAAGAATTATCTGTTTTGCATTTAGAAAGAAATACTGAAATTAAAAAATAACTAAACTTGTACCTTTTAATTTGTATTAAGAAAAATATTTCTTTTGTATAAATATTTAAATAAATAAAAACTATAGCTGGCCAATTAGCTTAAATTTAGTGTCCCTGATATCAACTTCATAGAATTATCGCGAGCTTGGCGTAGAACGATACCTACTGCGGCGGCCAAGAGACCCATTAGATTAAAATAATGCGTATTATTTAGTAATAGAGACTTGTACAATCTTGTATTAAACGAAGATAAAAAAAAAGAATTATGTTACCATAAAGTAATAGAATTAATAGATACGGCTTCTAACTTTTTTAAATCTATGTAGGTTTGATCTACTCAACATTTTCAAAATGTTTTATTCATATAACATTATAATACAATATTAAATTATGCAAAACGTTAACTCCAATTAATTAAAATTATCGCCAATTTAATGATAATTGACTGTCAAATATTATAGGCCCAATAATTTTAAAAACGATTAATTCAATAGATAAAAGTGTTTCTCTTTGGCATTACCAAAATTGCTCCATAACTGACAAAGATTGATTGTGATTTATGACGCGCCGCAGCGCCCGCCTACCTAATTAATTCCTACCTGCGCACAACAAAAGCTTTTTATTCACCACCTTTATAATGCGTCACTTATTATACAGGATTCAGCTTGATTCCGTTATTTCTTATAAAAACAAAATACGATGCTAGCAAGATAAATAATGGTAAAGACGAAAGGTCGTCAATGAATTCTTTTATCATCCATCAAGTCAATAAGATCTTCTATACCTTTCATAAATAAGTATTGCGGATGTCTATGGCATCGATGAATGTCTCGGTGTTCCCGCTGTTTGTGGTCCCATTCTCATATAAAAAAAATAAGAAGGGAAATGTAACTAAATTAATTAAAAGTGACAGTTGACTGTAGGTATGTAAGTAAAAACCATGTGTAGTTGTAAAAAAAACGTCGTAAAGTGTTCTAGAGACATGACTATAAGCAATGTGAGTTAAAATATAATTTTATGAAATGTTTACGTAAGCATTTCCACTATTTCCCTGAGAGTTAAAACATATTTGTAAATTCAAAGCAGCATTCAAACAGGAGCATTGGTGCACATCCAGAGCTGTGCTGTCTGTGCTGTCAGGCTACAGTCGTCGCAAACTTTGTTAATTGTGCTGAAACTGATATTATTTCCACAGTATGAACATTATACTTTGCAAATAATTGTACTTCTGTTCATTTAGTTATTTCCTTTTGCGTTCATTTTCATACTACAGTACAAAACCAAGTTTTAAAATCATACCAACAGTTACTATAGATTTAATGACCAAACTGCATGCCATATGAATGAATAAAATCCAAATTACTACAAATGTAATAAATGTAAAAATTGCCATTTTTTATGTAAAAATAAATAAAAAAAATGGCATTCGAATGTAACATATATTTAAAAGTTAATTTAAAAATCTACGCTATAAAGGAATATTTGAACGGTATATTATCTCGTGTTGCAAACATTTACATATAACACAAAGAACAACAAAGACCTCATTCGTAAAGACCTATTTAAAATTCATCACTTCACCCTCCACCTTTTCCTTGTCCGCTTTTTCTTTTTGTAGTTAATTACTCCGGAGTGCTTGCGGCACAATTTGTCACTGGAATACTAAGCAAACGAATGTCGACGCCCGCTCTGTCCTCTCCTTTACCACCTTTTTTTCATTTTCATCACAATAACTGATTTATTTATAATATAATTCCATAACGGTATTTCCAAATGAAAATGCCTTTCCTGCTATCCTTCCTCTATAATAAAGTAACATTTTGACTCAAATTGTTTAACTTTCGTGAGCCATTTTTATATTTAGTTATTATATAGTTATAATAACTAATTAATAAATGGCTAGCACTCATGTTTATTTTTTCTCGCCCTGAAAATTGTCATGAGTGGTAGCCGTTTAGTTTAGTTGTAACATTTTTAACCTAATAAATTACCAAGAACATAGATTCCATATTCTCATTTGAAAACTTTAATAATTTATCTACCTAAACTATATTTAACACCAGAACTGTACAAAGTATAAAATAAAGTCAGATTTATCAACACCAGAACCGTTTGTATCAATTTGGACGTCTATATTTCCTCAAAGCCAACGACTTTCCGATCGGAACCTAATATTTCTTAGACGTACAAGATTTTGCTAGATATTTTTCGTTTCTTAAATGTTTCGTTCCACATTAGTTAGTTTTTTGGACATATATACTATATATAATAAAGCGAAAACACACACTACTTTGTGGCAGCAATCACGGCATGTTTTTGAATAATTCTTTCTGTAATAAAAAGCCCTACACTTACGACACGCTTTAGGCTATATATTTTTAAGCTATTAAACTTGGGGGATAGATAAATTGGAAATTTTGACATTTGCAATTGACAATTTGACACATGTTAACAATAAAATAAAATTTTCATAATTTTATTCAGATAAAGTCCCACGGGAATAGCAAGTTTTAAATAAACCAGTATTTTTATGACAATTCATATTGTATAAGATGTACATATTTTTGTTTTATCTAAACACAGGTAGTAAAGTGTATAATTAAATGAAGCATATTGGACGATTTGGCACGAATCGACTCCATGTTATATCTCCTTCTTAATGGAGTTACTGCTATCAGCTTGGCAGCGCGCTTGCCGCAGCGGCGGATGCGATCGGTGAATAAAAATCGCTCCATATCAGCCTGCTTTCTTGTTATTCTAAATCTTCGATTACATTTTATTATATTAGAACGTAAATCATGCTATCATACTAATATTATAAATGCGAAAGTTTAGACTGATGGATGGATTGATGTTTGTTAGAGTTTGTAGCCTAAACGGCTGAACGGATTCGATATTGTTTGGCATTGATGTAGAGAATAGTCTGATAGAACACAAAGGCTACTTACATTTCTTTTTTTAGTGCCTCGCGGGCAGAATCGCGGGCGAAAGATATAGAAACATAACAAACAAACCGTAATTAACTTTTTAAAACATTTTTTTCAAGGCTTTCCTACAAAAGTTTTAAATTCATCAAATCAATTATATCTTAAATTAAAACCAATTAGATTACATATAGTAATGGAAAGGTTGTTAATCAACAATTGTATGAAAAACGCATTAAAGTGTCAAAAATAAAAGGTAATGCTGGAACTGTTTAAACTGTAACAGAGTACGTCGGCTTCGGAAAGTAATTTTGAAGCCGCATTAAATATTCAAACGGAAGTTTGTTTTGTGAAACTCACTTGGACGGTAAATAATTTAAATACTTCTGGTATTTGGAGAGTTTTAAGCTTTCAAGTCTATTTCTGGCGAAAAAATAAAATTTTAATTACATTTTTATCAACAATTATTACTAACAATTAATTTAAAGATTACATTTTATTCACTAACAGAGAAATATAGATGACTATTTAATAAAAAGATAACTAACAAAGTTTGCATTTCATAGAAAATATAATCTAGTTTTAAAGATTCTAGACGTCAAAAGGAATCTAGACGGCATAGCATCTTTAAAGACTATTCAAATAGAAGTTTTCAAAGGAAATTTTCTCGGATTTTTCTTGAGTTTGAATAATATTCTTATGTCAATACAAAATGAATGAATGAAAAAGTATAACTAATAAAATTGGATTCATATAAAATTTCCACACTTCATCAAACTGTCTAAGTGTAAGAAACTCAAAAACTACCATATCGATTTTACAGAAAAGACACATTAGGTGAAAAACTTAATAATTAACCTCCACCTATTAAACCTAAAATTGAATTGAAGAACAATTTCCACACATCATCAAACTGTTTAAAATAAAAAACTCAAAAACTATCAAAACAGTTTTACAGAAATACACATAAGGTGGACACATTCACTTTTTTTAGGTAGATCAACAGGTTTATATAATTCAAGAGTTTAAAATCTTTAGACCGCTTGTACACCACCGAACATCCATAAGCAGAGTTTTGTTGCCAGCTTCTCCCAAATTAGAATAAAACCACAAACACTTGAAACTGGCCAAATCCGCTGAGGGTGAGCCATAAACAAGAAATAGAAAAAAACATTCACCTTAACCATTTCACCTTACACAGTACTGACGAAAATACCAATTAACATTACCATTAATTATTAGGTAAATCAGTAATTAACGATTACCAATCTGTAGTAATAATATAATTAACAGTTAAACGTAATGTTATAAATTAATTACTTAGAGAGGATTTTCTTACTAAATTTGATTCGTGTGAAAGGTTACTTTGAACCAAAATTTAATAAAGTAAGTTTACATTTTTATCTAGCGTCTGCAGAATCGAATTTTAAGAAAATTATGAATTATCAAATACTTTATTTACATTGGTTTTCTGTATTTTTTAATATAAAAAGCCTACGCACAATCCCGATGTCGGCAAAGGTCGTCCAGTGTTCAAGGGTCGCGCAACAAAACGAAACGACCTCATTATTTCAAACGGTACCTTTTTTGTAACCTTTTCTCGCAACAAATACATTTAAAGGTATATTGTTGATACAAACAACGATACGAGTACATTGATTAAGGTCCTACATTACAAATAACATGGCTTACGACTTTACATTCATTTGTGACGTCACAAATTGAATAGCGATAGATAATAAACATTGCATAAATTAAAAGAAATTAATTAATTTTATGCTAATTAATAGTCATATTTTATTTAAAAAAATATTAATAATAACAAACACATAAAATGAAACATTTCCCATGTGTTCCATAAAGAAGTTTACAATGGTCGTCACATTTCATATTTTCGCATAGTCTTCTTTTCACTCTGTGGAATCCAATATCAGTTCGATTGGTTTGAGTCGAAGTCAGGACATCGTCAGAAGTACCTGAAAATGAATTACATCAGTTTACATCAAGAACACCTATAGTTAAGTATAGTTAAGTATATCTATGGGTATAGCTTCGTATAATAAACCAGTCAAAACCTCGCTCGGATAAAAGTTAAAAAAATACAACACACTGGTAGTAAAGTTATAAAATTAAAAAAATATGTAAAATATTAGTGGAACCATATTGACAATCTGTTCATCAGTTATTTTATACTAGTTTTTGCCCGCGATTATATCCGCGTGAAATTTGAATGAATTAATGCTGTTTATATCTCCTAAACATTAGTAATAATAAAACATATCCTATGTTACTCACAGATAAATTACCTTTCTGTTGGTAAAAGAATTTTTAAAATCGGTCTTGTAGTTTTTGAGTAATTTCCAATACATACAAATATACAAAAATACAAATCTTTTCTCTTTATAATATTAGAATAGATATAGAAGACTGAAATAAAAACTTAATTAGTTTACTTTTTTATAGTAGTTAATGTACCAACCTTCGTTTATAGAAGCAGTTAAAACCACTGTAGCGATAATTGAAATAATGAAAATCGTATAATTCATTATTCTCGCTGTTCTAAACTTATTGTGATAAATTCATATCTTGCAAGTCTTTTTATAACATGAACTAAGTGCGTGCGCACACCTTTGACTAATCTATCGCACAACAGTTGTGCGATTATTTCGCAGCCAACTGTTTAGTTACAATACTAAAAATCGAGTAGTATCCGCATCATCATATAAGCTGATAAGAATTAAAGCGAGACTGTACAGTTCTGCGATTTTAGTCAAAGGTGTGCGAGCGCTCTAAGAGTGAAACGTCTGATAAACTGAATCAATGAATGCAAGACATGTTATTCCCCGATCCTGCTTCCAAGAATGATTATCGTGTTTATGACAAATGTTTTTGTGCAATTATGCTCTTCATTTAAGGACGTTGTTTACTTATGACTCTATTTGTTATGAACTCAAGATAATTTGAATCTACATAAGCCTGTACCAATATTATAAAGAGGAAAAAATTGTATTTTTGGACTTTTGTATGTATTTGATTCACGCAAAAACTACTTGACCGATTTTAAAAATTCTTTCACCGTTATAAAGCTAATTTATCTTTGAGCGACATAGGCTACATTTGATTATTATTAATGTCTAATTTTTAGTAAGTTTAATTCTTACTTAAATTATAAATAATTGTATCCAAATAATTATTATATTATAATTATAGATAATCTAGAGAAGTTTCACTGGATGTATAAAGTTCATTAATCACTAGAAAATAAAATAAAGTGTCTCGAAAAGCTAATAAATCTTCTTTGCTATCTGAATAATGATGTCAGATTAAACTCTCTTTAAGACAAATTTATGTTGGCTCATCGAGTGCTTTAGACGGATTTTCATAAACATACCACAACTCATAATTCACTAACGTTATTTCTTAATGTTGATCTAATTCAAGTGTTTTTAGTAAATACTTCTTAAAGATTCTTTCTACTTCAACCACAGAAGAATCTCTTGCAAATGCTTACAATGACATGACATGATGACAAAGCACGGCAACCTTGCATCCTTGATGTTGGCAGCAACTTATGGTATCTTTCCCACATTAGAGTTTTTTTTCCAAAATATTTACCCCCTAAGTTTAATTGTGTTAAAAAAATAGCCTAAAGCGTGACGCAAGTGTAGGGCTTTTCATTAAAAAAAGAATTATTTAAAAATATGCTGCAATTGCTGACATCTTAGGCAACAAAGAAGTGTGTTTACGCTTCATTATATTAGTATGGAGTATAGATAAGTGTAGATAATGCTTTTATTGTTTTTGAAATAAAATTGGATATAAATACGATAGAGCACCGTAGCCATAGCAGTAACAGTGAGTTTTCTCGGCAATTCTATAGTCTCTGTCGGGCACAAGCTTATCCTAATAATGGTTAATCTGGAACTTAATTCACTGCGGTTTCCCTTAATAGGATCTGTTATCTCCAAGGATAAAATTCCCTTCTTTGCTTTTTCCATAATGCGTTTCATAAATTGTATCTGATACCGGTTATTTAGCCTAATAAATGTAACTATTTCTTGTATAAAATGCTTGTTCTGGATTAAAAAAAATGTATTTAAAAGTAGCTTTGTACAAAGAAAAGTTATTATTAATTTATTTAATACATTCTCCTAACTTGTAACATATTAAACATTATTCTGATACAAACTTTACTTTCATAAACTGGAATGTGGAGCAAGAAAATTACATCGGAACAAATCGTTTTTCCTTACACTCGATCCTTCGTTTCGTTCTTATCGCGCGTAATCTAGTTTCGTGATCATTAATCGTTCGAATAAGTTGTGATTTGTTTCTGCTAATTATATTCGAACCTGTACCAAACGTGGAAATGAAATCATACGTCCAGTTTTTATTGTTAATATGCAAATGTGTACGATAGTACCAAAAACATAGGATTTAATGCATGGACTTTTTCTGTCTTAAAATATTGAATTATAGTAATACTATCTTTCCCCCGCGACTCCGTTCGCGTGGAAATAAGAAGCAATAGTAAGTAGCCTATGTGTTCTTCCAGACTATCCACTAAATCTATGCCCAATTTCATCAAGATCCGTTCACCAGTTTTGGCTACAAACACTAACAAAGGTCCATCCATCTATTTAACTTTTGCATTTAAAATATTAGTAAGATAAGATATTAAAAACAACAGACAGTTTATTGTCTTAGTAATGTTCTTGTTATAAATGAGTTAAAACAGCATATCTTTTTGTGATTTGTCACCTTAGTCCAATATGAAAGTTCTCCGGTTATATCCAAACACGTGCTGAACAAAATGAGTGTTATCATAAAACAGACCATTTATTGACTTACATCTTTGTCGTTAGATTATTATTAGACATTAAATCAATCGTAATTATATAAACCAAGCTCTGTATTAAATTCAAAATATACAAATAAATCGTCCTAAATTTCTTACAAGTCAAAACAAAATCTTGTTTCAAAAGATTGTCGGTGAAAAGCATCTTAGCCTGAATGAGATCTTTGCAAGTCATTTCAATGGAAGCCATTAAAGGAGCTGCCAGTAAATGTAGGTGAAGTGCAGCCCTCGAAGGACTACCGCAATGAAATGCTAACCGTGCAAAATTAAATTCAAATTTACACCTATTAAAGACGTAAGTAAAAAAATAATTACATACAAAAGTAATTACAATATTTCAACCAGTTCTAATACTGTGGTTACAATTAAGTAAATTAGAGCGGGCGCACACCTTTGACTAAACTATAGCCCAACCTGTTGTGCGATTGTCGATTGTTTCAGCCCATTCAACTTTTCAGTAGCACAACTAAAAATCGAGTAGTGTGCGCACATCCATATAAGCTTTTAGTAATTAATGCGAGACTAAACAGTTCTGCGATAAATTAGTTAAAAGTAGAAATGGTAAACGTCAAATTGCTTTTTCATTAGTTAAATTTTTATCATTAGTAGCTTAAAATAAATCCTAAAATATACAATTAACATTTTCAATTTTAATGATTATTAAAGCTTTACGCTTATTACCAGACAGCGTAGATAAATAGAATGTTCGACTATCCGAAAACGTTGTCTAGATTTAAATTGTCTACGTAGTTTGGACGATACGCAAATGTTGGAAGTTCTGAGACACCTTGAGTGACAGACATACCTAGAGAATATAATAATCTGAAGTCTAAGAAATTTGAGAACTGATAATATTTGCATAAAATTTATGAGATACTTTAAATTTTAACATAGAAAGCTGTACTTGTTTTTTGAAATAATGTAAAAAATTTAAGACCTTAGTTAAAGAGATATGTTAAAACAAGCGTCGTTACTTTTTAACGTAACACGTGTATGGTCATAAAAAATGTAGACTGGACGTCATTGTTATTAACATAAATGTACGCTGTATGTGATAAAAATAGCGCAAAACATTTAATATGCACCCGTACATCGGCATCAGGTGAAACATGTTAATGACTAAAAAGCTTTTGCATTTTTAATGAAGGTAGTAAGAATGAGGTAGTCAAGGACAGGGAAGATGCGTTGTTATGACGTTCCAGGGTACGCATTGTAAATCTAAATTTTTAGTGTTTACTTTTAAAATTTTGAATAACTACGATAGTTCTTTTATTGAAGAAAATGTAGGCTAACACTGTTTAACAACGTAATTATTTATGTTCAGTTCAACATTTATATTAAAACTTTTTAAAATTCAAAAATAAACAAATTTTTAATAATGAATTGCAAAGAAAAACTTCTAAAATATAATATCGTATATGTTAATACATTGTTTACTTCTTTTATCTAGGTGGTCTATTGTTCTTATATGTTTTTTGTTAACGAATATCATCATTTTTTACTATACATTTTAAAGTCAGCAAGAGACGTCGCTATTCATACAAATATGACGAGCATCGCGACCGCGAACGCCACGAAAATTGAGAAAGTTTAACTTGGAGAGCGAACATTTTGAACAAAGATAAACAATGCATGTTTTACAATGAGTTTTTACCACACGTAGTTTTAAAACACTATGAATTGTTAATTTTAGAAATTAAAAAATAACAAACAAATAAAGTATAACATTGTCGAATAATTCTGCAAAAGAAAAATAACATGAAATGGTAGAATGAAATTACGTATATACCGTATTAAACGTATACCTAGTTAGATACACAATTTTTTAAATACCAGTCTAATTTAAACTACAGATAAAATAAGTGTTAAATAAACAGTACAAAGGCTCAGTTCTCCTTTTAATAGGAACCTTCAGCGAACTTCAAATTAAAGTTTGTTTAACTTTGAAAATGGAAGCAAAAAAACATGTTGACTATTCAGCCTAAGCAAAGCAACGAGTCAAAGAGAATTATTCAAATTTATTCAAGTACATTTCTAATTCTTGCTTACAAAAGAGAAAAAAACCTTTTGTAGGTTTGGAAAAATTGATCTTACATAATTTTTTCATAAGTCATTTATAGTATCAGTTTTATTTTTTTTTACGTCATTTTCTTGTAATAACCATACTTACCTTTTTGGCATATTATTGATAGGAATCCAAGATTAGGTTTAGCTGTCTACTAAAGGCTAATTTTCAAAAATATTGCTTATTAAAAAATGTTAAGTAACTGTACTTTTTAAAGTTTATTCAGAAATTAAACAGTAACGAAACAAAAGCTGAGGGCTGAGGAGAGGCAACGAAAGACGCGGCCAAGTTTACAATGCTACGAAACTTTTGATGTTGCTTCATGAAAAACTTATTATGACTTCCGTTGCTAAAACTGTGGAATAGAGTTTTGCTTGTTTCTTGCGAATAAACTAAAGGCAATTTAGCTTGTTACAGTTTCATATCTCATTTTATGGTTTTTAATTTTAGTTAGTGATAGATAAATGACGTGTAAGCCTATTTAAAACTACTAAATGCTGTCGTTAACAACTTTATGTGTTAGTTGAAAATCATTGTAACATTGCCAACAAAATTGTAAACAGACCAGTCTATATTTAATGCCTGTTAGGAGGTAATTTTGGATGATTCTGTAACATAATAGTAATAAACGTGATA